CACACACACACACACACACACCAGTCAGCCACTTCGCATAAATGCACACATGGGGCTGCCCACGTGCGGTCCGAGTTATCCCGTTAGTTGACAACCTTACAAGCCACGACTTAGCGCACCGTAATAGCTTAAGGTGCGTTGAGCTGTTGACCTCACTCTCTTTTCCGAGCCACTGTCCGAGCCGGCCAGTGCGAGAAAAGAAGCTTTACTAGAGCTCTGATGGTAGGACACATGCTATAGTAACACCGGCTGTTGTTTATGGTTTGCCGAATGTACAGGTGCAAAGTTAAGTCTCCTGGTGGCAACTCACTCCCGGCTATGACTGTGTTCGCTTTGACTTACTCAAGCCGCGAGTCAGCCTATATGGCCAATGCAACTTGCAGGCAGGTTGTCATTGTGAGAACAGTCGAACTGACCTTCTGAAAGGTAACATTGTTCGTGCTCCACCTGTGTAAACCGTACTTAAGAACTATTGACTTTTCTGTAATTCCTTATTGTGTTTACTTAAGATCTTGTCCATTCTTTGAGCTGAACTACTTAATCCGGTCGTCATCCTCAGTCCTATCAAAACATACTGTGTTTAACCTTCGCATCTATAAACTGAGTTTTGTTCTTTTAGCAGCGAAAACATTGGGACACTCAAACTGAATTCAGTTTTGCCCCATAAGTATGAGTCCTGCAGTACGTGTCGTCTGCTTATTCCAACATTTTCATGGGCCTGATTCGGTGATGTAGGATGCCGCCTCAAGACTACAGCGTGCATATTTTTAATGGCGCGTGTTCTATTATTGTTCCCCGGGGAAAAAGAGAACCATTGGCGTTCCTGCTTTTACGTGGTTCAACTCAAAAGTCGAGGTAAATTTGGTGTGTCCGACCAGATTGCAACTTGCACGGGTCCTAAACGCTTGCCCTGTGTTAATTACAAGGACTTCGAAATTATATTTCAGGGAACAATTTTGGCAATTTTAGGGCTGTCCTTTGAAAGACTAGATACAGAACTGTACATTTTAACCTGTTTGTTTCAATCTCCCTGGTGACGTCATCCTCCAATTATTATTAACACTCTTTAGTTGACCTGCTCATTCCATCTCGCTTCTTGTGATTGTTCGTCGTCCATGTAACTGTAAACGCTTTGCATGCTTTTATGTGGTTTTAATGAATTCTCTGTGAGAAACATGAGGCTATGCGCTTAAGGTTACGGTAAACGAGTCTAAATAACCACCTTATTCCCCCTCCCCTTCTTATTGCCTTCAGAGGTCGCCCTGAGTTACACGTCCAAGGCCCTTGCCGAAACTGGTGCTCTACTGAAAGCAATCGCCGATTGTGATGTCTCTCCTGAAGGTTGGTTTTCTTAAAAGTGGCGTCCCCATCCTCCTTGCTAGTTCCCGTTTTTTCCTCATTGGCCATCCATAATTTTCTCTCATTCTTTCATGCCTGTTCTTTTTTTTCAATGGTAGCTTCGGAACCTCTCGCCTTGATCGTCATCCAACTGGCCTCCTATTTGTGTGGAGGGCTGATTAATTCTAAGGCTATTGCCAACTCTGCTTCCTCCATCGAAACGAGTGACGGTAGGTCTCCACAAAATGGCATTGTTTGCTATTATCATCCAGTCCTATTTATTTACTCTGCGTTTTTTAGCTTTTAAAAATCCCGCTCATTTATACGCAATGAAAGCGAGCTGTGTATCGGATAATGGTGTTATACCGTGCTTCCGACCTAGATACTGGCTAAAAGCCCAGACACGTGTTTCGCCGACATTTCTGCTGCTGCGTTATACAGCAACGAGGGGTTCGGTTCCTCAGTGGGTCCCCCAAAGTTTTCTATGCGGTTTCTGATATATGACCTCCAGATACTAATCAAGGAAATTATTGTGCAAACTACTAAGCGCATGGCGTAGAATTAGGTGACCGGAACATGCATTTTTAGGGCCAGACCCTAGATTTCAATGAAAATTTGAGTCGAAGACAATCAACTACCATGGAATAACCACAGAATGCCCATTCTACAAACAAGTAGCACTGCAATTGGTGTGAATTCTATATGATAATGATATTACACCGTACTTCCTACCTAGATACTAGTTAAAAGCCCAGACATAGTTATAAACTAATCCCTTCGCTTGGTACGAAGTTGGTTGTTTTACCAGCTGTGTAAGGGCCGAGGTCTCGAATGACAAACACTGTTTTGAGAACTTTCTAAGAACGTCAGTGTTGGTTAATTTTCTTCGCCTCAAATGTTCGCTGAAGTCTAGGTTATGGCTCTAAAAATGCATGTCCTGGTCACCTACTTCCATGTCATGCTTTTGGGAACCTCCACAATTGTTCCCTTAATATAGATGTATACATTTATTTATCCCGCTCATCATCCCCCAAAGCAGGTGAAGAAGAAAATAAGGCGCTGTCTTGGACCACACTATAATTTTGCTGACGGGATAATATTTCTGGACCTCGTATCTTCTCCTATGTTAACATTTATTTGTTTATTTATTGCATATGGGTGGTTGTCACCGGGCTATAGATACTTTTTCTAAGAAACATATGCTTATTCGGGTCTCCTAGCAATGCGCGGGCAGGCATCTGTCCAGTCTGTCAGAGAAAACGGGTCTCTGTATAGTAAACTAGACGTTTCAACTGTTCTCTTTTGCTTCACATCGTAAAAAACCTTTCTACCTACCGCGAACTTGTCATAATTTTCCTGTCGGAAAGGAATGTTTTGCACCTGTCTCCCGTGTCCCTGGTCGCTCTTGGAAATGTTCTTGACGGAAGTCCTAACTCGGAACGCGACAGCAAGGACGGACAAAAAGTGTGCATTGCCTTAATCTATAGCAGATGGAAGGCGAGAAGGAGCATACAAAATGCCCAAGGTCGGATTGAAATTTGACCAATCAGATAATTCCTGACTGGTTCGTCTGGTTGAGTAAACTTCCAATCCTGTCAGAAACTGAAGTGACATCAGCACGCGCATGGTGTGTGGACAGCTCGTTGGGTGGGGGTAGCGTCCTAGCATTGTGCATGCCTTCGTTGGATGGTACGATTTGAGCCCCGGGTCCACTTTCAATGGTAAAATACGCGTTCGTGTTCATCGTGGTCGTCTGAGTGGTTAAGGACTTCGTCCTGATCCTGGAATTGGGGTTTTCTTACTTTGGTTTGGACAAATCGACTGTGTCCGATTGTAGCTGCAATGACGGATTTGGACCTGGATTTGGCGCGCCCGTGCGTTCGGTGTGTCTCAGCTGATTTGCGTGGCGCACCCAAATGCCTTTGTGAATAGCTCGCCCGGATGTACTGACCGCTGCTTTGCTCGGGGCGTCGTTTGAATCGTCTTTCTATTTATGTTGGATGGACTGTTTCACGACGAACAGTGCGCTCTTTTTACAGACGGTATCAGAGGAAAGACTTCAACTGATTTTAACAACTTTCTCTTTTCCCAGAGCCCCCTCAGGGGGACGCCGTTTGAGGAATTGGAATTTGGGTCTCCCAATACTTACTCAACAGGGTTCCGACAACTTCTTCCGTAGTTCTCGCCCCCCCCCTTTTGACTTCACTACAGCCAACGTGGACGTGACGAAGAATCACCCAATCTATCTGTTGGACTGTGGGTGATAAAGTGGTGGAGAAGGCAAGTTTTTACGGTTAGGAACCCAGCCTAACCGAATACCAGCAGGGGCTTGCAGGCTGTCTTGACGCGTCGTGCCTGTGGCCCACTGCAACAATGCGTGTTTTTTGAATGCGGACTGCCGCAAGGTCATATGCCTTCGCTGTGAATGTGCCCACACGATGACCGTAAACCTCAGCACACTGGCTTTACGCCAACGACACACTGCCACCTGAGACAGCAACTCCGGGTTTTGTACACAATAAACTCTCCTCAGGGTGGCTTCCTCTTTTACGCCCTTCTTGTTGTGTACCTCCTTGGGGATTCCAAAGGGCATAATTAGACGGTGACACGGACACAGTCACCGTTACAACAATTACTGCCTGACTGCTTTCAGAATCAAATGAAGGCGACTACTGCGAACTGCCCCCTATTATCGCTTATTGCGGTTTCAAAACAACCAAACCTACTGAGCATTAATCGAAG